TGGCTGCTTGACAAATACCTGTGCTTGGGAACACAGCATCATTTAGACACAGGTTTTAACTGCTTCATCAAGGAATCATCCTCCTTTGCATTTGTTTCTTGATAATCTTAAAGGTCTTTTCCAATCTAGGCAATTCCGTTCTGCGGTGGTTCAGGAAAACCTACTTTACAGGCTTGGGCAAAAGGGGGCGAAAATGGGGAAAAGAGGCACCTTGGTTTTGATCTGTTGCTCTGCCTTTGATACGGAAATTGTTGTGGTTTGGGGGCTGAAGTTTGTACTAGTATTTTTGGCTCAGGTTTGCAAGGAGTCAGCAGTTTGACATGTGATTCTTTCTCTCCCAAAACAAGTTTTCAGCCTCTGTCTTCCTTCAGAAAATGATTGTCGCACCCCAAGGAAGCCCTGCTGTGTAATTGGTGGATAATAGAGAGGAACGGACCTCAGAGGCAAAGGGGTTTCCAACATCTGAATGGAATTGTCTTCAGTGAGAGAAATTGGGGTGTTCAAAATGACAGATATGCTACTGGCTTTTCCTGACTCAGAATAAGTGACTTCAGGGGAGAAATGGAGAAAAGTTTATTTCTGGGAGCTGCTGCAGGGCTGCCTGCTGTTCATCGTTGCCTGTGTGGTTGTGTCCTTGGACCTGGCCCTCCAGAAGGGAGAGGGAGAAGGAGAAGTGCTTGCACACGTGGGCCTACAGGAGTTTGCAGGCTGACATGTGAAATATGGGTTCTCCATGGACCAGTACACTCCCTCCCTTCAGGGCTCATGCCTTTTGGCAAAGGCAGGGTGGCTGCCGTCCCTGCAGGTCCTGGGATGCTGCTCCCAGGGGGATGCTGTGCCACTTCCTTCCCGGGGGAGATGCCCTCTCCTTCTAGGCATCCTCACTGAGTGGTTTCTGAGCCTTTGGCTGTGGTTTGAAAGGCAGGACACATCACTGGCTCGTTTGCTTCGAGGTGCTGGGCCTGGGGTTAAAAGTTAACAGTGCTCTTCCCTTATTCAGTTCTAATTTAATTTGGGAAGGCAGCAGGGAGACAGAGGGCACTTAGTCTGGTAAGTGCTATTCCCTTGATGGGAGTTAGCAGCTTGCACGGCGTGCGTGGTGTTGGCTTCGTAAACTGACCTTTAGTTCCATCAGGTTCATTTTCATTTAAAAAAAAAAAATAAATCCCAACCTCCAACCTCTTATTTATTCTTTAGGCAGCGAGGACGTAAATCCTTCATCATGTTTGGGTTTATAGAATTACTGTGCTTTTGCTGAGCCTCACATCCCACTCCAATCAAATGACGGGTGATTGCTTTTTTTCTCCCCCTGCCTCCCCCCTGGCTGCTCCCGAGCTGCACCTCCTCGTGCTCCCTGCAGCCTTTCTGGGGAAAGGAGGGCCCTTGGCACCCATGGGAAGAGACACAGGAGGGGGACTAGGCAAGTCTGAGGGTTATCAGCATTTGTGCATGGATCATGACAACCTCCAGTTATCTTCTTTCCTGGCCCACAATAAAAAAATGCTAAACTGCTTTTATAGGAGGCATTTCATCGGCTGTGCTACAGGCCTCCTCCAAAACGGGAGCATTTCCGTGGTGGCTGGGGACAGGGGGGAGATCTAAATATATTGCTCAGCTCTGCTTGGCTTCTCCCCAAGATAAATAGAAGTGAAAGTTGAAAGTAGAGCCTTGGCCTTCTGAAATCTCTTTCCCAAGCCCACAGGGACCCGAGCACAAGATGCTTTTGTGATGGGAAGACAGCTCCCGGTGTTTTGGGGGCCTCAGAGGATGATGTTTGAGGGCCCTCCCTGCCCAGAGCCAGAGGCAGATCTCGGCCCTACCGTGGCCCGGCTGTGATCCCCACGCCTGGCGTCCGGTGGCTTCTGTTGTGGGAAGCCTCGGGGAGCAAAGAAGCATCAGTGAGAAGCCAGCTTGAAATGAGAGAAAAAAAATGTCTGTGGTTGTCCTCTAAATCTTGTAGCGTGTTTACTCTCAGAAAGTACAGCTACATTACCAAAAATCAATAGTTCTGGCAGCGTTCTCCCTGGGAAACACACACACACTCAGACACACAAGAGGTGGTAGGTCTTAAAAAAGCCAAGGGAATACAAAGTGCTTTGGTACAAGGGTTTTGCTTCACTTTTCTCAGTGTACAAATGGAGGGCCCTTGACCTGGACAGTGTCTTCTGGGACTTTCTGATTGTCTTTCTGGTCCAATGTGCCTGAGGCTGTGCGAGGCACGAGGGGCTGGGGGGAGGGTTTGTCTCATTAACTAATTTTGCCGTTTTTTGCTTTGAAGTACACATACTTTGTAAGAAAACCAGGTTGTAGTGCACAGAGGTAATCTAAACAAGTGTTTGAAAGACTCTTCCTTTGGCTGTTCTGTGTAGAGGTGTGACTTCTGGGGCTGCTGATGGGACTGGCACATCCCAGCGTTTCGTTTGTTTTCTTCATGTTTGTAAAGACTTTATTCTACAGAAATAAATACATCTTGTCCCTCCTCTCTTTTAAAAAAGTACTTTTCAAATCCTAGTATCTCCTTGCTCACCAGCTCACCTACTGCTCCCCCTGTTCCTAACGGAGAGAAATCATTTCCGTTTTTCCTGGGTGGAGAGTGCTCTGTGAAGGAAAGGAGCATCGATATGAATGACCATGTTGACAGAGATGGGTGTTAAGGCTTGGGGTGAGTGGGCACGCTGGCAGCAAGCACTGCAGCGAGCCCTGGAGAGCTGGAAATCATCCTGCTGCCTCAGATCAGCCAAAACAGAAAGGAGACAAACCCTTTTTTACTACCATCTCTTATTAATGAGACATTTTATCTGAAGTCCTCTAACATGAACTATGCATGCTTTTGGGAACGTAATTAATCTTTAATTGTATAAATCTTTAATTGTATAAAATGGAGTTTGTATGGCTGTAGTAATTTCTCCTCTCTCTTTTCCTGCTCTCCCTGTTTGAGATGCTCCCTTAGCACAACTTTTCAACAGGGTGCCCAGCTTTAGGGCAGTGGCCACGTGGAGCCACACACAGAGTGTCCCTTGAAGCCAGGCTGCTGTGATGGGGCCTCTTGGTGGGACAGGGATCTGCGTGACCCCCATGGCAGGGCGCCTGGTTCCTGCCGAGTACGCGCTCAGAAGAACCAGCAGCAAGTTGCGGCTTAATATGAGTCTGAGTGATTAACGACGAATTACTTCAGGCCCTGTGCAAAGTAAGTCCTTGTGCTGGGGTCTTAAGGGGACAAGCGTCACCCCAAAGGCAGGTTGAGGTGCAGGTGAGCCAGAGGCTGCCTGCTGCCTGTCCTAGGCAGGCACACTGTGACTAAATGGTCCAGCGCAGAGGAACACAGGTCTTTGCAGTGTTTGTGCTAACCCAGATGCTTTTTGCAGAAGCAACTTGTGGGCTGACTGCCTGTGCTGCCAGGCAGGCAGGTCCGAGGAGGAGGAGGAGGTGGTCCCTGGCAGGTGGGCTGCTGGCAGCAAGAGCTCTGCAGCACGTCTGACTGCAGCTGCAGCAGTTTCAAACCGAAGCAGGGGCTCAGGAATTGCTGAGAGCTGGCTCCGCACGCATAAATACCCCTTCTCTTCAGAGATGCCATTCTGACTGTCGTGTGTCGCTGGGGAATTGCTGGCCTCAGCCAAATCCTGAGTGAAGAGTTGTTTGGATGAGCTGGCAGGCTGGAGGAGGGGCTGGATTCATCACGATGCCTGATGTCTGGTCTGTGGTGCTCCCTGGCCGAAGCCCTGCTTGCTCTGCTCTGAAGGTGGGCAGGGAATCGCTTTCCTTAAGGCTCTTTTCCTTTGTGGGAGTGACAGCGAAACCAGGAATTGCCCTGAAATAAACCTAGCCGGTCCCCTTGCAAAAAGGGATATTTGCAAAGTAGAATACCCTTGGGAGAACCAACAAAAGAGCAGTCATGCCCAAATCAGTGCCAGGCAGAGCCAAATGCCTTTTTGGAGGAGGAGAAGTGCAGCCTTTCAGATGCTAACTAGGTTTTTGAGGTTTCGATCATTCTCTGTATGAAGGAATTGATGCACCTCTAGGAGGATTGCTTGTAATTAATGCATCGGCTTTCGCTGGCCGTTAGCGTTTTGTGCCTTCTGTAAGGGCAGGAAGAGACGTGCCACTGTCTTGAGCTGAGGCCTGCAGGGACAGATAGAAAATTCAATAGGAGACAGATGGAGTGGGCATTTCAGTGGGGAGATGTCGATGCTCAGGCCTTTGGTGGCTCATAGCACTCCCGTTCAGTGGAGTTTTGAAATTAGCATCTCCACAGAAAAGCTTTTCCTAAGGCACGACTGATGTTTCCAGGGAGAGCAATTTCCTGCGACTTAATGGAACGGGAGGAGCACTTTACGCTTGGACACGATGCCTTTCCAGCAATATTGCTGAACTTCCCCATAAGAAATTCTGATGTCATTTTTTTGGTCTGCTTCATAGATTGGATTAATCAGCGGAGACACGCCCTCCGGGTCCCAGCGTTGGCTTGCTTTCGTTAATTTGCACTCAAGTCTTTGCCGAACAAAGAAGGATTTGTTGAACAAAGCGGGGTCAGTGCTGGGATGAAGAGCCTTGCGTCTCTAGCCTGCTAGTTTGAATTAGGACTGAGCTGTAACTGTAAGTCGTACGTCCTGTGGCCTGGATTGGTAAAAACACCCTGGCCTCAATTCTTGCTCCTGCGGAGCCTGCGACCTCAAGAGCCACCCTGAGGTGGTGGCCTTTGGGACAGTGAACAACCTCCCCAAGCTCCCTAAAGGAGAAGCAGTCAGAAAGCAAGGCAGGGAAGGTTTGAGCAAGGGCTGCTGTAGATAAAAAGATGTGATCATTTCGAACCCTGTTTGCTGTAAAGGTAAAGTGCAGTCTGTAGGGGGAAAAACATCTTTTTAAGAATAGTTTTGTTAAAGGCAAAACAAGTCTATGAGCTGAGGCTTTGTGCAGGACCGGCTCATGCGAGGGATCCATGGACCAGCTGCAGCCTGTGTTTCCCTAGGTGCCCCTCAAATGGTTTTTCTCCTCTCTTTCAGCTCTTTGAGAACTTCTACTTCGGAGAGGTGCAGCTGGACTCGGTGCGTCTTTCCCAGAGGTTCTCCTCGGACGCCTCTGGCTACTACGCAACGTCTGGGCAGCTGACCTTCTCCTGAAGTCACCCCAGCGTGGCTGCCACAGTGGGTCTGCTCTGCACACCAAGGCACACGATTCATTCATGAACTGTGTTTATTGGATGGGGACCCGGGAACTGCAAACAGGGATGCCTCATGACTCCCTGAAAGCACATTGGAATTTCCCTGCAGCTTTTCCTACACATATTGCCTGCCCTCCCTTTTGGGGGAAACCAGGATCCTTCTGCCTCCTTTCCCCTTTTCCCCACCGAAATGCTGCAAAGTTGCCTGTTTGATGTCTGTTGCCTGTTTGTTTTCCAAGAAAACAACTAGAAAAATTGGTGCAGGTGGCTTTTGGGGGCAATGTTTAAGCATGGCTTTATTTGAGAAGAAGGAAATTTGTTCTTAAAATAAGTATTTCAAATCCAAGAAAGCTCCCCAGAGCATGATTTAACGATATTGAGGTCAGGCATTGCTTGGATCTCCAGCAGTGTGCCTGTGTGATGTAGATCTCCAAATAAATTAATTCCCTTCAAAAGCAAAGTGTTTATCTCCTGTTGCATGGGTAGTTTCTGTAATTAAACTTCCAGGACACAACTATGGTAATAAGAAAGCATTTATGGTAACAGCTCTTTCTGGTGACCGTTTCAGAGCAAGTCAAAAAACATATGCCTTGTAGGTGGTTTCTCCATTAAAAGAAGAGCAAAACTCTTTGATGCCATTGTGAATCCTTCAGAGATCTGAAGACGACTGTTTTTCCTTGTAAATCTCCCCATTTGGTGTGAATAGTGACACAGGCTTTCAACTCGCCAGAGGACGAACGCTTTGAAAAATGGAAGATGCTGGTGTTGAGTCATTGTGCAACTGGCGGCGGTGGCGGCGGCTGCTGCTGCCCGTTCCTGGTCGCTGCCATGAATGTGGAATCACGCTGTCATCGAGGCAGAGAGGGTGTTAGCTAGGGGCAGGGCTGCTCCAGCAGCACCTGCTTGTACTGGTGATCATTTTTAAGAGGTTTTCATCCCGTTTCCTCCCTACTGAAGTGAGCTGGCTTCAGGGATGCAGGCAGGATTTAGGGTGGCTTTCCTTTTTTCCCCCAAAAATGTGTTGCCAGTTGTATTTCCAAGACCAAATTGCCTACCTCTGCCTGCCACGAAATCAAATCATCCGTGGTTTTGCCAGTTGCCCTTTACCCTGGAGTCTGTGCTTGTACCCAGTTACAACCATTGGGTTTTTTGTCTCTGCTTTTCCTTGCAGCTGAAGGCCTTTGTGCTCTCCAAGTGGAGGAGGAGGAAGAGCCACCTTCAAAACTGTTCTTTCAGTGAGCAGAGCACCAGCATGCTCGCTAGCAGCCCGACGCAGCACTGAGAGTGCTTAACACCGGTTGCTGTCATCTTTCAGCCAACCTGAAGAGGTACTTGGCAAATCTCATCAGCCACCCAGAGAACAGGCCAGGGTGCTGCCTGCCACAGGACGGGGAGATGCACTCCTCCACTTACTTCCCACTAACCTCGGTGTGTTTTAATGCCAGTTATTTCTGTGACTGTTTGGAAATTGGTTGAATTTCAGTGGTAAGTGGTTTATCCCACTGCTCCAGCTTGGCATGGCAGATACGAATCTGGCTGTGTGTTGGGAGCTCCCTGGCTCGGAACTCCATGCCCCTGCTGCTCCTTTGCAGCTGCAGCCGGGGTGCACTGTCACCGTCCTTGCCATGGAGGGGGAAACCCAAACCCAGTGATCCAAAACCCACCTGCCTCACAGCCTCCCTTGGGGCAGGGGTGGGCATCTTCCCCGCAGCCCCAAAATGCTGTGCTGGTGTGGTGGAGAGATGGGGACCGCAGGTTGAGCAGGGCAAGGATGGGGGAGGCAGCATGGGGACATGGCAGGGACAGGAGATAAAGGATGGGCACAGGGGTAGGAAGATGGGGGATACGGATTTGGTGGGGCTGGAGAGCTGCAGGATGGGGATGTGGCAGGGATGGGGGCACCACAGGGACAGGGATTGTAGCATGGAGCACAGCAAGGGCAGGGGATAAGGACAGAATGAGGACGGGGTGTGGGATGGGGTATGCAAGATGGGGACAGGGCAGGGTCACGGGGTATGTGATGGAGCTATAGGAGGGACTGGGAATGCTGGAGGGAGGCTGTGGGATGGAGGCTG